GCAGAGTATGTATCTGTAAACATATAAACCATTAAAACCTAAAAATCAATACTGAACAGATAGTCTCCCATATTTTCTTGAATTTTAATTCAGTTTCATGCCTCTTTCCGATCTGGAAAGGTATTGAAGGCAACATGAATGCTATGAGTGAACAGTTATAGAAGGTTTTTACATTTTCTGTGTGTTCTGCTCCCCTTTGGCACTTTTGAATTTAGGGCCCAGAACTATTATAAGTACTCAGATGATCAAAGTTTTAAATTCACCATGCCCAGGAGTTTGGGGGCTTTCTTCCTGGTAGTCAGCAGTGATGTTGAGAACCAAAGGCACTTGCCTTTCCCCAGGTGGAAATGGAGGCCTCGTCTCTGACATCTGTGAACCTGCTGGAGAGATGGAATTTTCTATTTCGCATTTGTAGACAGAGAATGTGAAAAATCTTTTGCCGTAGGACTCCAAAGATAATTTCACAGCTGAGTGGATTGAAGCATTGCTGCTTCTCAACACTGAAAGTGTTCTTAACGTGCAGACATGGTGGGCTCTTCAGGCTCTTATGTCCAAGGCAAAGGGGTGCAGCAAAATCATTTTCTTAATTTATTCCTCAGTGAAATTGATAAGCCTCGCCTTCGCTGTTTTGGGTTGGAGGATAGGGCAGTGGTGTTTCCAGAAAGGTCAAGAAATATACACCTAGCCGCTGCCCTCACCTCCCTGAAACCAACCTTCCCATAAGACCTTTTCTATTCCTCTCTCCTCATGACTTTAGTCAGCTTGTTACCCAGCTGGAAAGTACTTTTCTGGAATTCCTAAGAAAGCTATTGGTTACATGTCGTCTTTACATCTTTTAAGTGCAAAGTATTTGTAGTCCTTTTTACTGCTGACTAATTGCATGGGTGATTTCAGCATGTGAAGGCAACTTCTGGTCTATATTTTGTGGAAAAGTTCTATAACAGGAAAAGCCTTGGGGATTGATTTTTAGGCACTATTAACTGTCTTATTCCTATAGATGTACTGCCCGAAGGGATACTAAGAGACTGCTAGGAAAAGAGAGTGGTCCATGGCAATTTGGATTTTCTGGGATCTTCCTTTTCTTGTCAGAAGCAAATGTGCAAACATCACCCTTTAACAGGACGGTGTTTGTTTTAATATTGCTCAAGAATTCAGAAACATATAAAAGTGAATTATCTCTAAAACAATTTTAAGGAGAAAAGTAATACTTTTGTTTCTGAATGAATTGTTTCTCGCCAGTTATTCTAAGTGCATGTCGATAGATTATGACCTCTCTGCAGTCGTCGGAACCCTTGTTGTGCTCACGCTGGGTCGTCAGGGGCAGCCTCAGGAATCCACCTGTCGGTACCTGTGCGTTCACAGGAGGGTGGAGCTACCAGCCAAGGGCTCTCACATTGTTGCTCACAAGGAAACGGTGATCATTTTGCCTCTACGTTAATTCGTATTCTGTACTGCGCCTCATGGCGAGAAGTCACACATTTCTCAAACTGTGTTATGCTCCATGAAAATGGGAGAGAAAGAGAAGGATCTAACAAAACTTAGAAGAAGCTTACTGATTGGCTTTGTTTTTGTATAATTCAGAATCCATTCACAGGTATTTGAATTTAGAAGAGAGAGACCCATAGAACCCATGGCTATCACCTGCATGTTACATTCGGTTACAGTATATTTCTGGAGTGAGAAAAAAAATGTTTTGAAAGGAATCGGATGTAATTAGCAAGTAACTGTTTCATTTGCGAGATAGTGTGTTATTGTAACTACAAAAAATTCATTGTTGTGGGAATTAGGAATAAATACATGGTCCTTTTACCCTCAGCAAGGGAAATTGTTTAATGTACAGCTTGACAGAATACAAATATAAACCATGCTTAATTCGGTCTTCCCTACTTTCCATTTCCCCTGCCTTCAGTATTGATCCTTCCTTCCTTCCTTCCTTCCTTCCTTCCTTCCTTCCTTCCTTCCTAGGCTCCATGCTGGCCCTACTCATGAACACAGGGCTTGAACTCATGACCCTGAGATCATGACCTGAGTGGAGATCAAAAGTCAGATGCTTAGCTGACTGAGCCACCCAGGTGCCACATTTCTTAACTATCTCATGTGGGAATTTTAATACTCACTTAGTATTCAAAATGTGAGCATCCACCAAGAATTAAATGAAATGTAATTTCACAAAATCTCAATTCTAATTTTTTTAAAAAGTGACAAAGCCAACCACCCTTGAAATGGATGCTGAGGAAAATCTGAAATGTGCCTAGAAGTGTTAGTAATTATTAGTATTTAATATATTTACCTGTGCACATTTATTTTTAAGAACCGATGTGCTATGTGAAAGTCCTTGACTATATCTATAATACGTATTTGTCCATATTACTCTAATATGTAGAGATAATATAATAAATAAAAACAGACTTGATCTTAAAGTTCACCTTCCTTTGAAGCAGCTTGTGATAAGTTGGAAGTCCAGCACTTAGTGTAAAGGTCTGACATACAGTTGGTTGCTTAATATACATTTTTTAAATGAATGAGCAAAAATAATATAATTTTTAAGCAGATGGTGTTTTCTGAATTATAAGGGATATTTGAACATTAAAAGAATATGTATTTGATCACAAATCATTTTATATTTTGTCAAACTGAGGAGTGTTGCAAAGTGGTAGGAAAATATTCAAAGTGAGAAAAGTTAACAAATGATTTTTACTTCAGTATCAACAAATAGTTGAATGATCTTCACAGAAACCAAAAACAAAGCTAATTTACAGGTTCCTTTATTATGTTACTACTGGCAAGCCTAAGGAGTATTTCTTAAGGTATTGAGAATTTTCTTAGGTCTATTTTGTTACTTATCATTTATTAAACTTTTGCATAAAGATGACCAGTAAAGAGAATTTAATGTTGCTATTCTGGTAATTGAAATTAGCTTTTCTCATTATTCTAATTTATTAACAAATGTGAATAGGACTGTTTTTTTTTTTTTCTCAGCCTCATAAAATGACTCCCTCTTTCCTGCTCTATTTTATCCCAAAACATTTAGGATGTACACACACACACACACACACACACAATTTTACTTTTTACCAAAAAAAATGATATTTTTGTGGAATGACATATTCCCAAATAAACCTTGAGAAAAAGATCTCATTGTTTTGCCTCTGTCAAAGATGGACTGTGGCTATAGGATATAATGCATCTTTAGAGAAGGTACTAAATGCACATTAGCATCTTTCATAGAAATTTTATCCAGAGGGGGTAAATAGAAAAAAAAGAGAAAAATCAATTGAAAAGAAGGTAAAAAAGGGAGAGACTATGAACACAGAAAATCTGAGAAAAGTAGATAAAGCAAGATGGTAGACATCCAAAAATATCAGTCATCACAACAATGGAATAAGTCCTCCAATTAAAAGCCAGTGATGTCAAAAGGGCACATTTATATAAAATGTTCCACTGAAGCTAGATCTCAGGGAACTCTGCCATTCCAGACAGACCTGGGATATACAATTCTAGAAAATACAGTCTAATGTAGAGTGATAGAAAAATGGTAGTGGTTGCTGGTGGGGAGGGGGGCGCCTAGTACATAAACATTGTTTGTGCTGAGGAAAGACTTCAGTGGGAAAGGTAAAACCATAATACTTTGAGAAAGCAACCTAGGAGAACATCAATATGATCTCAGAGTATAGAAGGATTTCTTAAGACACAGAAAACACAGAAGGAAGAAAGTGATAAATTCAATAATATTCAGATTTAAAACTTCTATTTCTCAAGAAAAAGAAAAAAACCCACAATGAAAAGAGCTGGGAAAAAATAGTTAATGGCCATTTAATTGACAAAGAATTAGTATCTCTATGGAACTTACATGACTCAATAAAAAATGCCAACCCAGTAGAAAAATGGACAAAAGATACAGGCATATCACATTTAGAGGCATCCCAAATGGCCAGTAAGCATGAAAAGAGGCTCAATCTCTCTCTCTCTCTCACTCACTCACTCTATCTCTCAAATAAATAAAATCTTAAAAAAGAGACTCAACCTCATTATTTAGAGAAATGTGAGTGATAGCCAAACTTAAGAGCCCATTTCATAGTCTCTATCTCCCGTTGATAAAAAGTCTGTATCAAGTGTTGGCAAAGATACGAAGCAACTAGAACATGTATCTGCTGGTAGAGAGTAGACTGGTACAAACACTTTGGGAAGCTATTGGTCATTATCTCCTAAAGTTAAAGATGTGCCAACTCTAAGGCCCAGGAATTCCACTTACTGGTATGTCCAGTCAGAGAAACTCATGCATTTGGGTACCAAGAGATGTGTGCAAGAATGTTCAATAGCACCACTGTAGTAGAAAATACGAGGCAGTCCAGATTCCAACGGCACTAGATAAATCACGGTATGGCTTTACAGTGGAATAGTCTAGCAGCAGGAAGGAATGACTTACAGCAACAAGGAAGAATCTTAGGAACAAAATGTAAGGAAAAAAGCTTACAAAAAGTTAACAAAAGAATACATGCAATGTGATTAAGTCTTCAGGGATACAAACAAATGTAAAACTCTACAGAAAAGCAAGGGAATAATAAGCACAAAATCCAGAAATGGTTGCTTTGAAGGAAGAAAGAGATGGGTTGGGAAAAACAAGTCTGCTACACTGGGGACTTGAAAATGGTACAGTGTTCTTGTTCTGTGATTGGGCATGTTTGTATCTCTGTTTATATCTTATATTTATTTCACAATACTTTACATTTGTTCATTTTATAATTTGAACCTATACCATACTTAATAACGTTAATTACTTTTAAAGTAAGTGCAAGTTGCAGAATTTAGCATATGACAACGGGTTACCTGTTCTTGTACACCTGCAAAAAAGTACTCTTTTTTGGAAAAATGGCAAATCATGAGTTCCATCCCATTACTTATGTTTAATGATTTAAATTTCCTTTGGCTAAAGGTTTTCCTCCCCCCCCCCCCCCCCGCCCCGCCCCACCTCCCCTGCCCTGCTGCTCCTCAATTTTTAGGAGAGATTTGAAGCACTTTTCACTGTCTATGACGACCAAGTGACATTTCAGTTGTTTAAAAGCTTTAGAAGAGTCAGAATAAATTTCAGCAAACCCGAAGCAGCAGCAAGAGCACGAATAGAACTCAACGAAACGGACTTCCACGGGAAGAAGCTGAAGCTGTATTTTGCACAGGTACCTCGTGACGCTGTTCTCTCAACCTCTTTTCCTCCATCCCAAAATACTATCAATCCTCCATTTTCCTGATGAGTATATCAGCAGTCTTTGAAATAAACAATCCTAATCAGGAAATGATATAAAAATATTTTTCCTTTATTTTACAGATATATAAATATTAAGGATATTTGCCCCCCCCCCCCACTTTTTTTTTACTTATGCTAAACGTTAAAGGAATTCCATCTTTCTGGCAGCTTTTCTCAACTGGGGTTACATGAGGGGGGGAAGCCCTGACACCTTAAGATCAGTGAATTGACTTTCCTCCTGTGCATCTAGAATCTGGCATTTGGGATGTGACAGCCTTGGAAGAATTGAGAAAATAGTCGCTGAAGTCGTTTCTGTGTTCTGGGATTCAGGAGACACCCCATTGAAAATAGCTGCCAGCCTGGGGGCTGACCAGGGAGGTGGCACAGCACTGCGGAAAGGTTGGCCCAGGCTTTGCAATTGCAGAGGAGCTTGTTGGTTACCAAGAATCACCTATGCTTATTATTCTAATTCTGCCTGGGTAGCACTTGCAAACCAATTTTCCTCAGAAGAATTGAGGACATAAAGGCATTAGACCTCTACTCATTTATTAAGTGCGCTCTTTTATTTTCAACGAAGTATTTTGGCCTTAGCTTTCAAACTTAAAAAAAGGGGTTTGTTTATTGTCTCATGCTCCAAATGAAAATGTAAATGAAAGTTGTCAAGATGTTTCTTGGTGGAGCTATGGAGACGGTATAACCTATCTCTTCTAAAACTGGAATTCAGAAAAAGACATAGATAAATACAATCGGAATTCAGGTTTATTACCATTCATTGTTTGTTCGTCTCCTTATCGGTTCATGTTTTCATTCGGTGGTCGTTTATTGGGCACCCGGGGTGCATGGGCTCTGTGCCATGCACTGTGCGCTTGGCCGTGAACCACACAGACCCAGCTGCCGCTGCTGGGAATTACAGACTGCCAAGGAGAAATCTTTCCTTTTCTCCAAAGAGGTGTAATGGTTAGCCTCACGATGAAAATGAAGAAACAGCCCAGTCACAGGCTGGTTTTGAGCATCTCCTTGCCCACAGGTACAGATGTCCAGTGAAACCCAGGACAAGTCGTATTTACTGCCCCCGCAGCCGGTCAAACAGTTCCTCATCTCCCCTCCTGCCTCGCCGCCTGTGGGGTGGAAGCAGGGGGAAGACGGAATGCCTGTTATAAACTATGACTTACTCTGTGCGGTTTCCAAACTGGGACCAGGTAATATACCCTTACCTTTCCTAATTTTTTTTCCCAAGAAACTTTTGAATTAAAGACCATATTCCGCGATCTGCATTCTAGCCAACCAGTGGCAACATGATCAGAGTGGAGGATAAAGTCACACAAACCTGGGTTCCAACTCTAGTGTTTGCTAACTTTGTGATTTTTTTTTTTAAGATTTTATTTTTTTAAGTCATCTCTACCCCCAATGTGGGGATCGAACCCACAACCCTGAGACCAAGAGTCACACGCTCCACAGACTGAGCCAGCCAGGTACCCTGCTAACTTTGGGATCTTGAGCAAGTTACTTAGCTTCAGCTTCTGAGCCCATTTTCTCATCTAAAATAGCGATCATAATAGCTACCTTTCAGTGTGGTTGATAAGGATTAAATGATACATACTTGATAATAAACATAACCGCAATTCTAACTGCTGCACATCGTCAGTGAATGTTAGCTACCTTCTCCCTGGTCCCATCAGAGTACCAGATAGACTTCTATGTTGAATACTTCTTTCAAGGAATTGATGGCAATACTATATTATTCCTTCCAAATTCTTCTCTTATAGTTATTGTTCATTTCTTCTTTTTCTTCTCTTTGATTTCTTTCATTCCTTTAAAATAATCTAGGAAATCAGTGCCTGGCTGGTTCACACTAGTTGTCCACCTACAATAATGTTATGTCTCTTAGAAAGGGATACAAAAGGCATTTTGAAGGGAAGTGGCTTGGTGGTGTTTTTAGACATTAGAGCAATGTCGTGCATGTGTGAGGTCTTATAATAAAGAGATTGCTGCCTGGAACCGTACAGGTGTCTCCCGAGGGAAAACTGAAACCATTCTAAAGTTAAACAGGTTCACTCCTACCGTCCGTAGAACAGTCATTAGCATTTCCATTTTAATTCCCGAGACCTCAGTCCTCCCCACCAGCTAATTTCTTCAAAGGGCAAAACTGTCTAAGAACCTTAAAGGCGAAAGCGAGGTAAAGTGCTCTGACATAGGATCTAAAAGCCAATAATTGGCAATTAAAATAAGAGTAGAACAAAGTTTCAAGAGACAAACTCCTCTTTCTGCTGCTTACCTCCCCAGGAGAGAAATACGAGCTCCATGCTGGAACGGAGTCAACGCCGAGTGTGGTGGTTCATGTCTGCGAAAGTGAAACTGAAGAGGAAGAAGAAACAAAAAACCCCAAACAGAAAATTACCCAGACGAGGCGCCCCGAGCCTCCAGCCACAGCACTGAGTGAGCCCCAGACCTTCGATGGGGCACTGTGAGGCCTCTGGCTGGTGCCAGGCAGCCGCCCCCGGGGGCTCCGCGCTGGAGGTCCCTGCCCCTTCTGGCGCACCGTGGCTCGGCGTGTGTGGGTGAGGCTGGGGGCATGTGTTGGGGGGGTGAGGCTGGGGGCATGTGTGGGTGGGGCTGGGGATGTGTGTGGATGAGGCTGTGTGTTGCCACCACACCCGCACTGAGGACATGGAGGTAGAGAGTAGCAGCTGATTTTACCTGTTCAAAATTTTAACAGCTATTCTGAACAGCACTTTAAATGAAAGGATCAGCCCCCAACATATTGTAACTCTTGACCATTTTTAAGCAGTAGCAAATTAGGAGATTTGATTCCTGGCTCCCTCCAGCACTGTTCATTTCCCTGATTCCATGTAGCATGGCCCCCCAAAACTAAAGCTGTAGTCCCCCGAGTGCAGTACCATTTCTGTGAACTCAAAAATAGTCTCACAATTTTAATAATCTCATGTGGGTATTTGGTAATGGTATAATAGCTTCCAGCTAATCTATTGATCAAAGGTGGTTATTCCACATACATGAAATTTTTTGCACAAGAAGAGATCTGAAATCTAGAATAATTCATAGAGAATCATTTTTCTCCAGTCATTTTTTCTTTAGCTTTGGGGAGGAAAAGCCAAATTCACTTTGACCATTGGACTCAAGTGACACAAATCCGTGTACATGTTACTCTCTTCCCTGTTACTCTTGCTTGAGAGGAAAGTGCCGTACAGACCACTGTCCCTGCTGCGTCGTCCCTCCCAGAGAACTACTTTGGAAGTGGGACGTGCCGCCCATAAGTTTGACTGATTATGACCTCAGGGGGCCATGGCGGTCTGCTGTCTGTGACCGTGTGCTAAGCCCGTGGCATCCCCAACTGTCCTCAGCCAGCGGTTGAGTTTTTTAATGTTATACATGTGTGTGTCATTCAGAGACTGCAAATTAGAAAAGGTAATGATAAGATTTTCAGAAGACCATTTTTTTTAATTGTCTCTTTAAACATTTTCCAGTTTGCTCTGAAAGAAAAGGCACACATATTCTTTTTCTATGAATCAGGGAAAGATGGGGGACATCAAGATCATTCTGTTCATCAGGCTTTGTTTTTGGTGCAATATTTTACCCTGGCTGACAGTTGGCGTTTTCCCCTAAAACAGAACTGTTTCTTACTGGTATTTCAGGAGTGGATAGTTGAAGCTCCTAAAGCAGAAACAAGCTTCTTTTTACCTTTCTGTGGTCTGCTCAGACCTGGCAGTCCCTTTATAGAAAAGTCTCATAACGAAGAAAACTTTGCTTTGGTCACTTGCCTGTCTTCTCTGTATGTCACATGTCTGGAGCTCCCTGGTATGTGTGCGAAGGGGCTGCACACAGGAGTTTGGACTGATAAACCAATGTGGCCGCCACTACCCAGAAAGAAGAATACAGAAATTCACGCCGTGGTGTCCGTACATTTTTGGTAGCATGTTTTGTGGTTTAGAGGTTCTTATTATGGTAGGTTTTATTTCTGAGGACTTAAACCATATTGCCAAAAAAAAGTTTTATATTTTTTCTTGCCCTCAAATACTCTGAGATAATAAGCTGTCCTATTTATATATGTCTACCCCGGCTCATTCTCAATATAAATTCAGTTGAAATTTGTGATTCCATAAGCAGTTTATTAAATTCAGATCATCATTTGGCAATTTAATGACAGCCACTTAATAAATTTACTTTGCACTCCAAATTCACCATTTTGCCAGTGTTTGATCTTATCTGGTTGCAGTAACTTATCATTTGCAGAATGGACCTTGTAAGTCAGGAAATGTATGTATTTTCAACAGTTGAGAATTTTAAAATTTCCTTTTAGGTAATATTTATTAGCTAATTTTCTAAGTGATCAAAATCCATAATGTTTTGTTATTTGGCTTGGCTTTCATGGTCTTTCTTCCAATTAAAGAATAGTCTATTCCTAACTTACATAACCTGTTTTTAAAGTCAAGCAGTGCAAATATTTCTTTTCTCTGTATTTATTTTTTTGAGAGTATTGAATAAGTTGAAGAAAAACTTAAACCAAAATAAATATATATTAAATACAAAATATATATTATTTAGTATATACACATATTAAAGTTTTCTGAATGGAGAACATTGATATTTTCATTCTTTCCATAAGGTGAACTCTAAAAGAAAAAGTACTAAATGCCCATTAACTTTTGAATATGGTGAAATCAACCAGGATCTCAACAAGTATTAGGGTCTCTGTCCTTGGCAATTTTATATCCAGCTCACGTAACCATCTTGTAAGAGATGAGTCTCGTGTACTTTTTTAAAGTTCCTTTTAATAAGTTTAGCTACATTTTCTTTTTGGAAATTGAGTTATTACTTAGATTTAACTCTGATAGTGTAGTAGCCTTGCTCTCTTTAGAAATCGTAACTTCATCTCAGGAATCAAATTCATTAGAGCATTGTGAGGAAAGAAGATGATGCTTTGTGTTAGGAAAAAAGCATTTGTGAAGCATAAGAAAATCCTAACACTTTATAATAAGGATAGTCAACAGAACCTGCAGTGCAGTGGTGCTTTGGCTCCTGTGTTCTAAGCTCTTTCGACATACCCGCCTGACAAAACTGGAAATAAACCCATTTAAAAAGTGCGCTCGTGTGAGCATCAACTCGTTGAAGGTGCTAAGAGACAGAATCAGTAAAAACAGTTCCCTTGCCTTGGGGAGCTGAACATCAGGAGGAGAGCAAACTCATCTTACATTTTGCTTCTTCATACTTCATACACTAAACCTAGCCACAGAATGGAGAGCCCAGGAAGTTTTATGTTCACCATAAAGGCTTAAATAGAACTTGGTGTGTTCAAATCAGAGCTGCCAAGAGACAGGGCAGGATCAACCATCCTTCTTCTAGAATATGGGCCTTTTGTTTCCCACTCACAGCCACTGTATCTCTTCAGAACGTTGTGATAGAAAGCAAAGACCTTAGATTTCCTTAGAATCCCAGTCATAGTGCCGAAGGCGACTTTGGGGATGACGTAGTCTACTCCTCGTGTGACACAGATGAGAAAACAGAGCTGACACGTCTTATTACGAAGGCCACGGGGACTAGATTGGCATTCCCAACTCCCGCGCTGGGCATTTTCTCCTTTATAGACAGACAAAAAAGGGGAAAAGAATTCTATCTCCCCTGAAGGGATACAGTGAATTAGAGACATCTGGTGAAGGCAGTGACTCCGTCTCATGAATGAAATCGATGTTCCACGTTTTATGTTTTTGTTAGCATTTTACTGTTGGGATTGGAATCTACTTAAATAATGTTATTTTGGTAGCCAGCAGTCATGTTGACATTTTATGTGGGCCTTCATAGGTTTTAGTAGTAATGAGATTAAATTACAAATAGTCGTACTTGAGATGTGACTCTAATGAAGCAGCATGAGCGCTCCCAGGATTTGGAAATAGCTTGCAGTGGAACGGCACCGTCACTCAGTGCTTCTAAAATGGAGCTCTGGTAAAGACTGAAGACTGACTTATATAGACTCTTTTACAGACCATAGCTTTATTCTTAGAGGGGAAGATCTCAGACATAATTAAGCAGTGGAAAATGTATGAGATTCTTTGGTGCATCAGAGTTCCCTGTCTGTGGGTAGCTGTCTTTGCTCTGGAGCCCTAGACTTTGGTCAGCCTTCCTTTGGCCACTCACTGTGCTCCTTTTCTACACACTTGCATTTACATCCTCCTGTACAAAAACAAATTATTTATAAATGTGACAGAATAATGGGATGAGGGGATTAGTTGCCTCCTAGCCGGGGAGGGAAGTCCATTGTTAAAGAAGCTCACTTTTTAAAAAGTTAAGTAAACGTGAAGAATAAGGTTTATGAACCCTGTTCAACAACTTACTAAGTACTCATTTATTTTATAACCTCCCCTTGGGGTATGGGTCCGCCAGATGCCATTGTTGTCTCTACCCAGGAATCAGGGGAAAATGTTAGTAACTTGAAGGGTGTTGTTATTAATACCAAATACACAAGCAACAAAGCAACAGAAGATTGTAATAACTGCTAGGTTGTACTGGCCAAAAAGATTGTAAAAATGGTCATTTTCAAAATAGACGTTTCCAGCCAGGGTTAAGAAGAACTGATGTGGGGCTGAGTCAAAGTGTCTCCATCCATTTAAGTAAAAGCATAAGGACCTGTTACTAAACTAGGCATGCGTGGTCTGTCTTGTGAACTGTGTTTCCTTTTGAAGCAAAACCATGTCCCGCAGACTCCTGGGAGTTCCTGCATAGCTTTGACTGAATGTTCACACTCGTCACATGGAAGATCTCTATCTATGCAGAGAATACGTGTTTTTCCCGTACTGTTTTCTATGTAGTGCCCAGTCTTCCTAACCCATACTAGGGACTGAGGAGAGTCAAGGTGGCTAATGCTGTTGCTACCATCCCCCTCCTGCTCCTTCCCCCCCGAGGTGGGGGCCCCAGAAGGGCGCCGTCCACGTTTCTGCTGTATCGTGCACGTCCTCCAACGTGAAGAAAAATTTTTCACTCATTTCACTTCTCTCTTCATTGAACTCCAGGAGGTGAATTTATAATTTTATCTGAACATGTTTGCGATCTTGTGTTATATTCTGGGGAACATTACTTTTCTGGTACTATAAATTGTAGTGAATATTCATTGTACTTTGAAAACCTGGTCAGTAATTTATATATATATATATATGTATTCTGTATTTTAGTGCGCCTGATGTGACAATCCATAGTTTGTAGTAGTTCGTTATTTGTCAACTTTGGCTCTCCTGTATTTTTAGGACATTTAAATGCTCCCTGTTCTCTCAAAGTGACAAAAGCAGAAGGTAATGTTTTTTGGAATCCTTGTGATTACGTGTAACAAGTTTTGTTTTTAAAGCTAATAAAAATAAAATTAGGGGTTTTTAAAAAATCAATCCGTTGAATTGAGTTCTCTGTAGTATTTTCGATAAATATCATTTACATTTAGGTAATAGCATAAAAAAGACAGAAAAGTGAACTGCGATGTTTGTTCCTTTAACTAGATTCCAGTTGAGAGTTAATACGGACCTGAGTCAGAGCTAGAGGTGGTGACTCACTCACTGCCAAC